ATTGAATATATATAACATGTTATTTTTATAAATATATATTCAAAGGCATGTTTGATTGAGTGTTGAAATTAGCAATAATAAACTATATAAGCCTAGACCTATAAAATGACAGACAGTATAAATAAATATTGTTTTCCTTAGCGAAGTAATTGATTAAGAAGACATAATCATGGGATTCACGCATTGATAGTTCTTACAAATAATTTCAGGTAAATGTTTAATGAAATCAATTTTTCAATTTATATTTATTTATTTAAATAAATTGAATTGCATAAATAAATTAACACTGCGGGCGCATTCAAATATGTGAGCAACACGTGCATCTCGTCAGCTGCCGGCAGCGTTCTAATTATTCATATTTGCGGAAGTAGCCTGTTAATAATGATATTTTATAATGAGCGCAAATAAATGATAAAATATGCATGGGAATGCACAAAAATTGCAGCGTACACCAGGCGCCTCTGTGTGGAAAAGAGGTGACAGCACAGATGCCAGGGGCAAGCAATTGCCGCAACATTTGTGCAGCTGCTTGCGACGTGATTTGCATTAGCCACGCCCACAAACTCCGGCTACGCCCAAGTGACGCCGTCTGTTGCTGCTTCGATGGGTGGCCTGGTCAGGCTGCAATTTTTTACACTGGGCCATCAGAAAAGGCTGTTTTTGTGCAATCTATCTGCATGTTGCACGTCATGTTTAGCTATGTTGCACTTATGGTTTTATTATATTGCGGCCAACGATTTATGATCCAACCATTTATTTGCGAGCTGTGACCAAATCTTGCTTGCGGCTGCTGCCCTTGGCCACTGCAAAATTTATGTGCGCCAAAGACCAACCGCAAATAGCAACTGGCAAGTGGCAAGTGGCAAGTTAAGACAATGTTCCACAAATAAACTGCCTTAAACAATAAGCGCAGTGAATAGCAAAAAGTGCCTTAAACAAATTTTTGGCAAGCGCCAAAAAATGTGAGGTTTTCTGATGTCGCAACATAAAACAGTTTATTGAGCGTTTCAAGTAAACACTGCTGTAACTGCGCCAGAAGAATAGCTGTCAGGATAATCACGGAAAACGGGCGCTCAAAAGTAGGCAACAGAAAATTGCAAACGCCAACTGATACTGGCTAATTATGTGCACATTTGGTAGCACTTGGTCAAGCGACAGAACTTCTTGGCCAACTTGCGAGCTGACATTTCATTTTACAGCAACATGTCGAGCTTTGGACGAAATAAAAACAGTGCCCATAAATTGTATTTAGCCAAGTTGTGCTGTGTCGCCTTGAGATTTTTGGGCCGCGTTCCAAGCAAAAAGAGTACCAGGCAAGTGCAAAGCGCGATAACAACAATAAGTTCCAGCAGTTGCAGCAAGTGGCAAGCGGCAACTTGCTCGAATGCACAAGGCAAGAGTCGATAGTTTTGGAATAGTTTTGGCATTGCCAATGCGCCGCTTGCCCCTTTGATAAAACATTCGAACAGTCAGTACCGTTTACTGTCAGTCCGACCCGGAGTCGAACTGTGGATGTGGAAGTCGAAGTGCTTGGCTGTTTCTAATTTATGGCATTTTAACAAGCAGGCAGCATGGAACGAAAACAGCCAAATGGGGGGACAGGCAGTTCCGTTACAGTTTCTTGCTGCAAATAGGCATAAATTTGCATTTAATGCAGCTGAGAATGAAAAGGGCAAAAATGAGGAGCGCAAATGCCAAAAATTATTTTGCTATTTAGTAAGTGTATAATTTCCTGGTCCCGTCTGGCTAGCGCCAGGACTCTGGGTCCTCTGCCTGGATGCCAGATCGCAGGTCGCAGGTCGCAGGCCGCCGCTCGGCAGGTGCCATAAAAGCGGCATAAATTTTTAAACTTTTACAAAAAAATTTGCATTGCAAATGTCCTAAACACATACATACACTCACACACACACACACACACTCACAAACACACATGTAACTCGCTGTTTGCTGTAGCATTTTTCGCGTTTTGCATGCGGTTTTAACAGCGTTTGGGTCAGTCTATTAAAATGCAAAAACCCACGGCGCGTTGCCTCCTTTACCGTCCGGAAGTCCATTTTGTCTTGTCGTTCACGTCATAAATATAGCCGAGCAAATGGCGTTGCTGTTTACGGTTTAGTCTGCCCGTATATAACCGGGTGTAAGTATGTGTGTGTGTGTGTGTGTGTGTGTGTGTGTGGCGTTTGTTTATGTGTGCCCCTTTTAATGACAATTTGCTGAGGGTTTGCATTAAATTGAAGCGAATTTCACTTGACACACAAACGTGAACGTATATGTGTATGTGTGTGTATAGCTGTGCACTTTACTCCATTCGTCGTGCGTGGTTTCTTGTGGTCTTATTTTCACGGCATAAATTTAAATAATTTCCACTCTGCATTCACTTTTACAACTTGCTCTTTGAAATGTGTCTGTCTAGGTACTAATCTATATCTGTTTGTATGTCTGTGCGTGTGTTTGTGGCAAATGCCTGCTTTAGTTGGCGTCTGATGACAGCGGCTTGTAATAATATTCTGGCTGCCATCAGATCTTGGGGTCTGTCACCCTACTCAAGACAACTCTAGACTTTCTGTTGTCAGTCAAGACTTAAGGCTTTCAAACTATCATACACTAGTTGCTGCTGTGATTTTCTTAATACCTTTAGTCATTCACGCTGCTGTCCTAACAAATCCTTTTTAGCTGAATTTTTATGTCTCAATTCCACGCCATTTCCTGATATGCTGTGATATTTTATGAGCTATGTGGCGCTAACAAGTCGTTCCCATGTTGTTTTACTTCCTTTTCTTTTAATAAGTGAAGTATAAGGTTTTATTAGTTTAAGCATAAAATCTAAACTTACATCTGCAACCATGGATTGCAGATATTCTACATTCTACATATTAATGTATAATCAAAAGTTTTTATGAATGCAATTTAATTGGACACAAATAATATATTTTTTTTTTATTAAGTCTATCTCTCGGATCTCTACCAAGCGAAAGACTTCGAAAGGGTATTTACATTGAGGGGTATTGCCAAAGGACACAAAGGACTCCAAAGGACAAACCCCTGAAACCTAGCAACTAGACGCATTATTTAAATCCCTTTCACTATTAGGCTATGTCCACAACCCCTTCATTGAAGGTAGCCAAAGAGAGAGCGTTACACAGAACATATTATATATACACTACTTATATGCTGTGTCTTATTTTTTGAATATTATTTTCCGGTCGAATGCCCTAACATGACAAAATATACTAGCCAAGACGAAAAATAAGACGGAGCTCTCGTTGCCTTTGCTGCTTGTCACTTAACGTGAAAAACAATTTTTCTTTAGCTATGAAGCTATGCCATGCACATGCTATACGTGTGTGTGTTTGTGTGTGTGAGCGTGTGTAGCTATCAAAAAACCAATTTTCGCTGCTAAATTGATGTTTATAGCAATGTACGATGATGACAACGACGAGCTAGATGATGTTGCCGTCGATGGCAATGATGAGCTTGTTGTGACCACCATGCACCCGTGCTCCCGTAAGCCCCTGCCATCCCAGGACCGCCACCAGCTGATGAAGACAAAGTGCCAATGGGAAAAACTAAACGCCAAGCCGCCTGTCTAGGGCCTGACTTGCGACAATGCGCCATGAAAATCCTTTTCGACTCAGCTCAACTCAACTCGAGTCCCTCCTCTCGACGCGACTTGACAGCATTTTGATGCTTCCGGTTGTAATTTATGTGACACTTGCAGCACCATAGATCAGTAGCAGGCGCCGCGGGCCATGTCATGGCATTGGCTGCGTTTTTTTTGTTTTTTTTTTTTCCTTACTGAGTTTAGTTTTTATTAGGTATTTGCAGCCAGTTTATGAGCAATTGATTTGCTTGAGCAAATGCCATCAAAAGCAATCAGGTTCAATAAGCGTGCAATGTTACTGCCCAATCGTTTAATTAGTCTACACACACTTGCGCGCACAATTCCTTTTGTTTGACATATGAGCTGCTGACGTCAGCTCATGAGCAGCATCAATGCAATTACATATGAATTGAAACTCACTCAAACATCAGCGCCATTCACTCAGGGGCATAATGCACTTTTAACCCCTCGCCGTTCTACATGTCAACTGCATTTCCCTTTACGCTTGCCCTCGTCTATCATACGCCCCGTCACTTGCTACTTGCCACTTACCACTTGCCACTTGCCGCTTTATTGTGAGTGAATTAAAACGTTTGGCTGCACGCTTGGATTTAATGAATGCTTTTCTCGTGATTACAATTCGATGCACTTGAGCCGCTGTTGGCACACCCCAAAGCTTAAGCCGGGATGCATCTGGCACAGTCACTGGCTCTATCTCATGCATTTGTCTAAGTCACATCAAAGCCCCGATGTAATATTCATCGCTCTACCACTCTCTTAATGTTAAGTGGCGCTTAAGCATGGCAGACAACGGCATTAGAGGCAATTAGCCAGACACAGAGAGGTCACAAAATTAATATTATTTATGGAAAGAGGTGCGAAGACCTAGAGGAGGCCATGGCACATGTACCACATATACTTAAGTGTATCTGTATACACACTATTTTTCGATACTTGTGTGTATTTGTTAAAATTGTTAATTTGTATTTCCCCATGTCGATATTGTTGCCATATAAAAACTAATGTTTCACATTGTAAAAGCTAGCATAGCTAACAACTACTAAGTCTGTTGGAAATTTGTGCTCGTTAAATATAGTTTAAAATTTGAAAAAGACAGTTTTTGTTTGTTTTATACACAAAAATAACAAAACAGAGAAGAATGCTTAACTCAAAGGTCCCCGAATAGCAGATACCCTGTAACACGCTGTGACCGTCTTAGTTATTTTAATGAATGCATACATTATTTTATTTAATAAGCCAAAAAATCAGTGTAGCTTATCATAATAAAATATAAATGTCTGCGGGAAAAAAATCAGAGGCTTCGCTTACTTTGCCCTGTTACACCTGCTCATCTTCATTAGACCCTTTTTGCATACTCTAGGGTAAGACAAGAGAAACAACGAATCGACCGCTCGACTTGTTAAATTGAACAAGCGCGATAGCGGAAGTGGTTAGATATTGAATTCAACACTGAGTCTGTGTATGAGCAGGTGATTGGCTTTCTTCATCCGTGATTCTGGAATATCCATATTCCGTACTGTCTTGCTTTGACTTTTCAAATAACGTTGCCAATTATACTTTGACTTTGGCATACATTTGCACAGCTGTTTTCAATTAGTACCATTGTCGTTATCTATTGAAAACCGGAGCAAGGCACAAACAAAACTTCAATGTTTCTGCCAAGCATTAAACATTAGGGCAACACAACTGACGGCTGTCGCACGAGCCAGCAAATTCTGTGCTGCACTTGTAATTAATATTAACATGAGACTGTTAATCTGGTTGTGTTCGCTGTGCTTCGTTGGCAATAATGTCGGTGGCATGTTCTTGGAGCTGCCAGGCAACACAGCAGCAACATCAGCTGATGATGGTACTATCGACGACTTCCTAGGCGGAGCGATAAGTGGGCTAAACCGATACCTTGGCGGCAAGGCAGACGCTACCAGACTGAAGCCTGTCAGCCAGCGTAAAGGCAGCACTAGCCCCGAGACATCAACAGCCACAATAAGGCCATCATCGTCGGGATTTTTAGATGAAATGGAAACGTCTCTCGAACATGCAACAGACACGCTCGACGGTCTCTGGCAGCAATTCAGGCAGGTAATGCAAGAAGCGCAATCAATGGTGGCATTAAATTATGAGCTCTTCGTGCATTTCAGGGACTACTGAACCTGGTGGACAGCTTTAGCGTCGCCGATAATGATGGCAGCATAGACATTGATCAAGGCAGTACAACGCCAGCGAGTAGCGTACAGCAGCTAGGAACAACAACACCAACAGTTGTGCCAACAACAAAAATCCCAACAGCAATAACAACTTTGGGGCCAGCGACTGTATTGGAAATAACTAGCAGCACACCGCTTCCATGATGACTTCTTGAACAATTTCTGGATTCAACTTCTTGACTTCAACACGCAACAAAAGATCAGCTATCATTAAAATGTTGAACAAAGAAACCTACTCGAAGTAATACAAAGTCTACATCGATTGTGGCAACGCAGCTGTTTCAAATATTTACACAGCTGTTGGCCAAAAATATTTCACATCGCTGCAATCATACTAAGTAAAAGCAATCAATCCATCATTCGCGAAAGGCATGTTGAGGTGTTGCTTTAATCTTGTTATCTCTGCTCTGTTATCGCTAACAATGCACGTGTCTCTGGTGCAGGTAGCGTAGAATAACTGCCTAGAAGGCCAATACTAATTAACAACATCACAGACAGCTCCGTTAGAAATAGCTTTCATGGGTATAGATCGCGTCGATCAGATTGGTTATGCTGCTGGCACTGTAAGCTGGGCTTATCCACAAGCTGACAAACGGGAACTTGTTCCGGAGCTGAAACTGCCGCTACTGCAGGATCGGTTCGAACAAGATGGTAAGATAATTTTATTTTTTGTTTTTTTTTTTTAAAATCTACTTATTTACATTTATCAGCAGATGTTCATATATGGCAAATGCATTTGATGCAACTCAACCTGCTGAAGATTTTGGTTATATTGGATGTGACGATTTTTATATTTGTATGCTACGCAACGTGCATACATTAAAGAAATTATAATTTTCTACACTTCGGTTTTTAATAAAACCTGTAAGACAAAAACTTAAGTGAAAATTGTCAAATTTTAGTATCTAATTATGATAGAAACTATTAATACAAGTATTTGTTATATAAGAATCACAAGATCTTACCTGTCTTCAAAGCCGTAGATGCATTCGACCTCGACTGTACCTTCCCGGTTTCAATATTCAGCTTATATATATATATATATATATCTTAGAGTTGTAAAAGAAATATACACCTGAACTGATTTTGAGTTGCTGTGTAAGACCTGGCGCCGTTCACCTTTATATGCCACAGCTTTGTCTACTCTCGAATAAGTAAAAGATGCTCCTGCTCCTCGTCGTGGCAGTGGTCCCTGTATGCAACTAATATTGCTGTGTTATGTGAATTTATCATAAAGTGTATATTAAGCAGCGCATTGTTTTTTGACGCATTTGACACCAGACCGGCTCAGGAACACTCCCTATTGATAGAGACAAATAAAGTGTCATTGGATAAAGATGAGGTATGTCTTAATTCATCGTGTCGTGTTCGAATGTTTTCAGAATAAATTCAACTATCCTGTCGGTACTATGCGGTAAGTAACGGTATAAAGACTAGCAACATGTCTAAAACTAATCTTTCAAACAATTTAGAAATCGGTAAAGGATACTATTTGGGCACAAAAATCAAAACACTTCTGTTTCTGTATAGGCTTATGTATCATAGTGATTCCGTTGGAGATTTCCTTAAGAGCATGGATCGCTTTAAACGGAAGCGATGGAAAGAGTGTGGACAGCGAGCGGGTTACCTTGTCAGCATGCTCAGTGCTTGGAGTATTAAAAGGCGTGAATCTTTCTTCCAGTTGTTTCCCGAACAAGTTTGTCGTCTTACAATCTACTTTATGCCAATACCATTGACATCTTGAATGGGAGGAAACTTGCGTAGCTGTCGCTTTCTATTACGGGTAAGGTACAAGAGACTGAATTCCGCCTTGTTGCGAGGCTCTTTTTAAGACTGTTTGTAGCTTAAGCACTCACTCAATGAAATTGGCATTATCGGCATATGGATGCAATAATTATCATAAGCTGGGAACAAGAGCGGCCTATACGCCGCATCAAGCGATAGTTGCATTAAAAAGTTTTGCAACTTTGCGTTTATATTTGTTGCAGCTTCGCATAATAATTGCACAGCTATTCAATAATTATGAGGCACTTGAAAGGCCCGTGGAAACCTGAACACTTAACACTGAACACTATGGCTAACACCCTCGAACCCAAAATGCGATGGCCATAACATCATTAAATATTGGCAGCTGCTTATTGGGCAAACAATGCTTGCCAATTGTGTTCGGCTGGTCTGCAGCAGCAGTTGTACGTACTGTTTGTTTGTTTGTTGGCACTTTTCCATAGTTGGCTTCATAAATATTAACAGCTATTAAAACACTGAACTGGAGCATCCATGCAAAAGCAGCCTGAAAATTAATTTTAAAGTTTTAAACCGACCGGCGCGCAGTTTACGCGCAATTTAGCAGACGATGTGAAAACATAACCAGGTCGGGCTCAAACGGCTGGTTAAACCAAAATTTACATGCACTTGTGTGCACATGCGTGCATGTTCGTGTGTGTGTGTGTGTGTGTGTGTGTGTGTGTGTGTGTCTGTGTGAGTGAGTGCCTAAGAGCATGCAATAGCATTGTGCAGCCTCAATCTAATGGCTCATTTAATTAAAAACGGAAATTGAGCAAGTGACCAAGCACGAGCCGTAGCCAAGTGGTCGGCATAAACTTTTTACCAAGTTCTAGGAAATATTAAAAACGGAAAACACTTTGGGACAACTAATTTTCTGGCGCTGTCCTCTTCGTTTTGTGCTGCTCTTCAGCTTTTGAATCTCTTATGCCCTTACCGAAAGTATAATGATTTTGTCACAAATCGCGCATTTTCAAACTACATCGGCATACTATATCAATATAGTCTCATCTCTGAGGGTGTATCTAAGCTGATTTACTAAGAACAGATACTAAGCAACTAAATGGTATATTGTATATTGTGATTATATATCTGGAATGCCAAATTTTTTTACAGATATTTTAGCTCAGCAGCTAGAAGTCTGTTAGTGTGTTACATTTTCGGCGATTCTTAAATCTAAGTCGCATTTCGTTTTTCTTGTTGGCAGCTTTTGTGGGTTCAAGACTTGGCTGGCTGTCCACTTCACAGAAAGGGCGGCGCAGCACGTCGAGCTGAGTGCCAAGAAAGGAAGCGAGCGTGGCGCAATTAGCAAGTTTATTGCATGAAATTATGAACCGCTTAATAAAAACGCGCTAAAAAGAATATTTGGCTATGCATGGCTGAGAGCGAGTGTGTGCGTATATTAAAAAAAAAAGTGGGCGGCGCACTTTGAGCCAAGCGAGTTAATTAAAAGGTTCACATATTTGAAAAGTTCGCCTCGCCCAACAAGCGCAACGCAGTTTAATCATGTAAGTGCTGGCAAATTGTCGGCTAAAATTCGAGCCAGATAAATATTGCGCATACGCCTAGAATACGCGTTAAAAGGATGCTGCTGGTTGGCTTTTGTTGTCCCTACTCCTACTGATGATGCCGAGTTTTATGCTAATGGCTTTCGTTTAAAGCCAAAAGTAATTTATTGTTGTCAGTGGGCACCATCAAAAATGTTGCTGCACATTCATTATGCCCAAATGTATGCGCCACCGTGTGTGCAGTTGTATGTGTGAGCGAATTTGTGTTTGTGTTTGTGTATGTGCATTAAAATTTTAGCCGAACATAAAGCCACCTCCCAGCGTCGCCGGCAAGCTAAAAACTTGCATAGAAATTAAGTTAGCCAAGGGGAAAATGCTTGAAAATATAATAAAATGTTATGCCGCATGTCTCGCAGCTATTTGTTGTACAAACTCTTATTATACCCTTCACACATGCAAATTTTTAAACAAGGCTAAAGTTAAGCTGTCTAAATTTATATTTAAATCAGATGCAGATATTACGAACTCTGTCAGGTACAAATATACTTAAGCATACAGCTTGAATTAATAATGTTGCACATTGTTCCAGTATTGATTTGCTTTGGGCACCCTCTTAGTTATCGATTGTATAATAATAGAAACACACCGGTTATGGATAGCTTTTGGCACGTTCTGACAACAATCAAATTCAATTGTAATCTGCTCGTTCATTTTACGGAAACGCAATTACTAATAAATATGGTATGCAAATACTTTTTTTTTGTATATTTAGATTAATATTAAATTTAACATTTTTTAAATATTTTCAGTCACCACTGAAACACGTCGACTTAATAATTTCTAGAGTCAAGTTTATTACATATTTAAAAAAAAAACCTTATTTAATTAATTGCATAACTTTCTCATATGAGCAGAGAATTTTTCAGAACTATGTGAACCCATATATAGTTTTGTTATTAAAAAACTTAAGACAAGCGAAAACTATTGATGGCGAAAATATGAAACTATTCCGAGTTTATTTTGTGGTAAGGCTTCTTTCTTCTAGCAGAGAAGTTGTTACACTAAACAGAAAAACCAAGATTGCATGCGTTGCATGTATACGAAATGTATATTTGTTCGTTGGCTTAGGAACAAAACTTAAATATTTTAGCAGGCGTTTCTTGCTACCCACGCGACACGTCTTTGACGTTTTGGCCTGCTCGTTTTCGGGCCGTTTGTCGTTGCGAAGCGCCCGGAAGTATGCAAAAGATAAAACGAGCGCGAACTTTGCAACATGTTTACGGTAAAAACGTGATTTTCGGCCCAAAAACTGGGCCCGGCTGGTGCTGACCAAATGTGGCCAAGGCCAAACCCTTCACCAACCACAAATAAGATAAGTTGAGGAAAGGCACGCCACAGCATCAGTCGACAGACCACAACCCACCCACAAAGCTCAACATCCTCGACGAGGCCAAAGTTATAAAAATTAAACATTTGTAGCTTTGTCACGTTTGTGTTGACACTTTCTTATCACAGCCAGGCGAAATGAGTTTCCGGCTTCGGATATGATTCCAGCTGCCACCTAGCACTCGACCCGGCCTAAATATGTGAATGTGCGTGATAGTATTGACTGCGACTGTGACTGTGCTATAGAGCGCCAGCTTACCTGAGCCCGGCTTAAATAGAAATGCGCGTGTGTTCGAAAAGGGTCTGCTGCCACGTACAATTATACACATATGCTCCGTGTTTTTATTAAGGTTTAAATTCGTGAGTGTGATGACATGATGTCAATGTCGTAAATTAACTTATTGTCGAATTCCAGAATTCTCTTAGCACTGTAAATGCACTAAACATTAATTTTAACAATCAATTTTGTTAAACATTCAATCAAAGAATATAATTTGATAATTTTGCCAAGAAATTAAATTTCTTATCGATTTCCGTTTAAGGAACATTCTTTTCGTAAAAATACAAATTTACTGGCTGTCAATTGCAGCAGCAAATTAAATGTAGCAACCCGCATTAGTATTAGAAATTATCCTGCCTTAGATTGTAAGCTTTGACAAAAAATGTAACTTGTGAATATGCATGACCATCTTGTTTACAGGCTTCTTAGTCAGGCTTAGTTTACATCAGCATCTTGTTCTCCCAACTAACTATGTGCATCTGCCTTACAAATTTGACCAAATATTGGATCATTCCGCTCGGGCCGAGCATGTCTCTAGCTCCGGGCTAGCTAGCTACCTGAGCTCTTAATTTGTTGCCATTGCTTGGGCTCTGTAATTTTATTTGCATATTTAATAATTATGAAAATGTTGTTCGCAAAGCTGAGCTATGTTCTGGGGCGAATTTATGGCATGCCATTCGGGTTTAACTTTGAAGTGTATACGAGTAAGTGTATAAAAAGTACAAGTTGTGAGAAACTTTGTTGCCATGCAACTTTAATGAGTCGTCGCACGAGACCACAAAACTTGACAGCCAAAGGCTTCAAATTGAAAAAGTTTAATGAGCATGCGTATTTGATTAATATATATACAAACGCACGCACACACGCACGAGAACACACAATAAACGTTCCTCTTGTCGTGTTTTACCTGGTGCACCGAATATGG